AAGTATATGCCGGGACTTCCCCAAAGCTCACCCAAAAACTGAGTTAAAAGAAATGGAGAACTATGTGATGAGATGATCTCTGTATTAGCTCCCAGTGGAATGCTTTTGGAAAACAAAAGACAGTGGGCTTTGTCGCAGGCTTTTTGAAGCCCCCTCATAGGGCTGACAGATGTTTCTGAGGACAAATTTATATGTGCTGGAAACACACCGTGTTTCTGATAACCCGGGGGCAAAAGGATGTAAAATAGGAAAACTCAACCCCAACAGTTCAGTTCTGAAGTATTCAGTTGGATAAGCTTTAAGGTTTTCCCTCTTTATTTTTGAGCCAAGATTTTAACAACACCCAAAAAATGCTTTCAATAAATCACATCAAGCTCCCTTTTCCCTTCTTTCAGAGCTGAATCGGGATGTGTGAATCTCACCTTGTGACAAAGCCCCTTAAAATAAAGTGATGATCGCCCAGTGTAGTACAAAGTTTCACCTTGGTGTGAAGCTATATGCTTTGTCAGGGCTTGCTCCCTATAGACAAGGGCCCTGTCTTCATGGCCCCACCCTTGTCTCGTAGAATCCGCCAAGCTCATTCTCATTTTGGGTAGTTTGACAACAAGGGTCAAAGTGAGCCCTTGTCGAACTAGAGAGTGGCTCAGGTCTAAGCTACTGATGACAGATGGCCTAGTTTCTCACACTTTAGGAGTCTAGATTCTGAATTCAGGGTGCCACCTCAGAGGAAGACTTTTCAGTGGTTCTGAAGGAAGCTATTTGTACCCCTTTGAGTTTCGCTTCTGGGGGATCCTCCGGGAGACCTGACCTCTCTCTGCTGACCCCTGGCTTGTTTAGTCTTTATATACAGACTGATTTAGAGCATACACAAATGATGATGGAACCACACTTCGAACTGTTTGTTTACTAGTTTTGTGTCTTTTATCATTAGTAATACCGTTTCCCCGAAAGTAAGACATCCCCCGAAAATAAGACCTACTTACAGTTTTGCCTTTTGCTGAAATATAAGGCACCCCCTGAAAATAAGACCTCCCCGAAAATAAGGCCCCCCTCGAAGCTACTGTAACTCTGGATTCTGGACCGTAGCGGTGGGCGCCGCGGGCAGCTCACTGTTGGCCACAGTGCAGCTGGAGCAGACAGGAAGTGTGAGGTCTCTTTTAATAAAACAATCAACAATAAATGTGTACCATCTTCTTCAGGGGAAAATAAAATATCCCCTGAAAGTAAGACCTAGCGCATCTTTGGGAGCAAAAATTAATATAAGACACGGTCTTATTTTCAGGGAAACAGGGTATGTACTACATATTATGTTGCCTTAGCTAATTTAATCGTATTCTTAGATATTTACATGCAGATGTTCAAAGATTGCATTTACAAAGTTATTGATAATGAAGGGCAATCATAGTAAAAAATAAAGGTATTCAACTTAGATCAGGGAAAAAATAAACAGGTATAACACTTTTGCCAGGGTCCCCCCTTTGGGACCAGAAACATCAAGTGCCTTAAGCACTTAACAATAGCCCAGGTACCTTTTCTCAAGTGACAAGTATTGACACCGCTGGTGTTTCCTGTTTGGGTTCTGGCAGGTAGATGAGCTCTATGAAGCTTATTGTATCCAAAGACGCCTCCGGGACGGTGCCAGCAAAATGAAGCAAGCCTTTGCCACGTCCCCTGCCAGCAAAGCTGCCCGGGAGAGCCTCTGCGAGATCAACCGGAGCTACAAAGAGTACACGGAGGTATGTGCTTACCTGTTCAGGTGCTGATCAGAATTGCCGGTGCCTGCCAAGAACAAGGCGCACTTCCTTCCATTAGAGAGAGACCTTTTCCTGTTTGCCTCCCTTGCGTATTGGAGGGGATCGGTGGCGTTTGTTTAATGACTCTCAGGTGACAGGCTCGGTTGTATCCTGTGGAGGGGTTTGTGCTGGGCTTCAGATCCTGTGCCTTTGGGGAACCCTGAGCATTGGGGTACACCCCTCTCATAGCACCATGCTTGTTCACATGGTGTACCTAACGACAACCATTTTCCCCACCCATCTTAGCACTCGTTGTACTGTCGTACTGTTTGGGTGTCCCTGTGAAGAGGGAATCTTTGCCACCCGTATTTCACCCATCAGCAGGGGCACCCCTGGTGGACAGGTGTCAGCAGAGCGCTTCCAAACGAAGAATGGACGAGAAAGAAGGAATTGCCGGTCAACTTCTGAGGGATCTAGCACTGAAAAACCATCCCGAACCAACCGCAGCAGGCCTCTGTCGGATGTCGGCCCGAAGATGCGCCCCGAGTTGGGAGGCCCTGGGGGGGGGGAGGGGCAGAGACAAGGAAGACCTCGGATGAGATAAATTGACACGGCGTCCGCAACAACGGGCGCAACTACAAGCACACTTGTGAGAAGGGGCCGGTGCTCCCTCCTGTTGAACACAGGGTGAACGTGAGTCCGCGGAACTGACAACAACAACAACACAAGATTTCAGATGCTTGACAGGCATTCAGCGATCAAATCATACGCTTTTTCGTGCCCCAGACTGTCTTGCACATTCTGCACAAATGAATCACAAGTGATGGTTGAAAACTTCCGGGAGCGCTCTGATTTTGGCAGTAAAAGCCCTTCTCCGTGTTTCATATTAATGTTGTTAACTGCTGTGAAGTCAGCCCACACCCACAGTGGCCCCTGTGGTACAGAACAAAATCGCTTGCTCCCTGCTTGGATGTAATCTTTATAGACTCGGATCTTCACGCCTTTCTTCCACAGAGCCACTGGATGGGTTTGAACCCGCCACTTTTAGGTTAGCAGCTGTTGCAAACCGCTTGCCCCACCGAGGCCTCCAGTCTCATCTTGATTTATTTCGGGGAGTTGAATGAACCCTGAGTTTCAAATAACTACTCGGGGTGTCAGCCTGGGTGTCAGCCCCCCTGGGTCCCAAGACTTTGTCCTGTAAATGTTTCTGCTGTGAACAGAAGTGTGCCTTCCCGGGACCTGCCTCTGGGGCCCTGGCCTATGACATGGGGGTATTCACTCCTCCTGGGTCACCTAAAGCCATTGTCTCTGATGAAATGCCTGAATTATTAAAGCAGCGCTGCTCACCGCCCATGAGCCTTGTAGGGAGATCACATTTCCTGAATGAAGTCATCGCCCATGAGGGGCTGCAGCACAGTCCCCAGAGCTGAGCATCTGCCTCTACCTGGGATTGGAGGGCTTCTCAGATTACCGTGGGGTGGGGGGGACTCTTTCTCCCATAGAGTGTCGCGTCATGGTCATGCCTTGTCTTAGCTGTCTTGTGCCGTGATTACAGAGATACAACTAGGTGTCTTTAGCAAACAGGAATGTCTTTTCTCTCAGGTCAGAAGGTTGGAAATCCAAATCCAGGGTACCAGCTCTAGAGGAAAGTGTGTGTGTGTGTGTTCTCTGGGGGAAGGTCAATGTCTTTGTGGTTTCTATCCCTTGGCATGGTCTCTTCCTCCCCCCATCTTTGTGTTCTTCCTGCCTGCATCTTAATCTACTCCTTTTATATTTCCAGAGGCCACCCTACACTAGTCCTGTCTCATCACTGGAATAAAGACAACCCCTTCAGTCCCAAGGGGGATTATAGTCACCACTGTGCTCGCCGAATGAATGCTCACTGCCGTGGAGCTGATGCCCACAGACCCTACGGGACACTGTGGAGCTTCCCCTGGGGGGTTCTGAGACTGTAACTCTCTAAGGGAGTTGAAAGCCTTTCTTTCTCCCTCTGAGCAGTTGGTGGTCTCAAACTGTTGACCTTGCGTCAACAGCCCAATGCATAACCACAATCAGGGAACCTTCTTATAATCACAGTTAAGACACACACACAAAAATCACACCCACTGCCATCGAATCAATGCTGACTCCTCACTTAAAGGAACTCACTACCAGTTTCAAACTGTTGACCTTGCGTCAACAGCCCAATGCATAACCACAATCAGGGAACCTTCTTATAATCACAGTTAAGACACACACACAAAAATCAGACCCACTGCCATCGAATCAATGCTGACTCCTCACTTAAAGGAACTCACTACCATCGAGTCAATTCTACTCATAGTGATCCTATAGGATAGAGTAGAACTACCCCTCTGGGTTTCTGAGGCTATAACTATTTACAAGAGTAGAAGCCCTCCTCATTTTCCCAAAGAGTGCCTGGTAGTTTCGAACTGCTGACCTTGTGGTTAGCAGACCAACACATAACCACTACACTACCACCCTATATAGGGCTTCTGAGACTATAAATCTTTATGGAAGCAGACAGCCTCATTGTTCTCCCAACGAGCAACCAATGGGTTTGAACCAACAACCTTGCTGTTGTTAGAAGCCCAATGCCTGACCCAAAGTGTCCTTAACCCAAGGCTTAGAGGTTAGGGTTTAGAACGCATGTTTGGGGGAAGGCAGGGGACACAGACAGTTCAATCGTATGATTTTTTTTCTCATGACCTGAAGCAGGAGGTCTTAACCTAAGCCCCACACCCACCACACCCACCACACCTGCTTCCAGAACAATGCTTTTGTAAATGCATAAAATACGTGGGCATTCAAAGGAAAC